CAAGTCATTGCGCGCAAATTGCGGTGTTCCGTTTTTTTTATTCCTCCGTGAATTTGTTATTCCGCTATAACGCTGTAAACAAAAAATAATTTCAAGCTATGAAGAAAACATTACTGCGATATAAATTTTATTGCATAATTTATCAGAGCGAAAAACCGATCGCTTCGTCGAGCCACCAAAAAGATTTCCCACAATGCGTACGGATGAATTGCGAAAGATTGAGATTTTGCTGTTGATTAGCGGGAAATTCGGGATGGCAAGGATTAATTGATCAAAGTCGTGCGCGGCGATCCAGGTCGTCATCCTCCTGCTCTCGCGTATGTGAGATCGCGTATAAAGAGATAATTGCAGTCACTTGCGACACTTTGTCTGCTTGCGACGACGAAAGGCGAACGGGAGGGGGGGGAGTCTTTCTGTGAGCGGCGCGGAGATTGATTTTAATTATATGTCCTTTCTCCGGAAACGACCAAAGTGTCGTTCTCTTTCACGGCTCGAGAAGATGGTCTCGCTTGCGATAACGCGCATAATTACAGCGGTGACAATGAAAAGCGCAAAATTGAAGTCGGTGCAAGATAAATCGTTCGAATAAAACCTCGTTTGATTTAACCCACGTTAGATCATTTCGGAATATTCGCAAATCTTCGTCGTCGCTATAAATAATCGCGCGAGTCGATGTAATGTTATCTCATCTGAATGTTCCATTCGGAGAATAAATAAGAGTTTCCTGTTCTCGCCAGTGGTTTATGAAACATCTGCATTGTAGGGTCGTCAGTCTATCGTCGTTTAATGTTTATGTAATTCACAGAAATTCGATATCTTCTGGTATTATAAAAGTGCTCTAAAATCGAATTTTGGAGATTTATATATATTTTTAACAAAAAAAAAATACCTCAAAGTTTTCTATTTTTGTTTATTATTGCAAAAAGTCAGATTTGAGTTTATTTTAATTGTCAGAAATGAATACGAGTTGTAATGAATTACACATTAGGGAATTATAGCTGTGCGGTAAAAGCGGAGACACAGCGTGGTTTAATTTCTCGGCCGGACACGGACGGCGACCGGAGTTGATTCAAACGTGTGAATTTTGTCCGCAGGACGGTCTGAACAATGGAACCACCGGCGTGGAGATCAAGGTGGCGGACATTCAGAACAGTCCGCCGGAATTTCTGGACTCGCTAACAGGTGTAGTGCGCGAGGACGATCCCATCGGGACTCTTGTGATGACCGTAAAGGCACGAGATGGTGACAGAGGCATGCCGCGGAAGATGTTCTACGAATTGGTCACAAGTGAGTCCATCCGCCGTGTCTGAATTACGGTTTTATCGCCGATATTCGGGCGAAAACACCAAATCTTCATTTCTCATGAAATTCTAATCCAAGCTCACTCCGCAACAGTCGGTGTGAAATAAAATGCAGAATTTCGGATCACGATTCGACATTATCGCAGAATTAATCGTTAAAGGCGCTCCTCCGCGAACAATAAGCTTGTCTTCTACATCGCACGACCGATCGCGATGACAACGACACGGAAATGTCCGCAGATCCGTTCGATTACTTTCTGCTGGACGATGACACGGGCGAGCTGAGGACGGCGAAGCCGTTGGACAGAGAGGCGCTGGAGAACTCGACGGGCGTGCTCACGCTGATCGTGAAGGCCCGCGAGCTGATCAACGGCATACCCGGCAACGATGAGTTGACGGTATCGACGGCCGAGGCGACCGTGACGATTAAGGACGTCAACGACGAGCCGCCCACGTTCAATCGGCGCGAGTACAACATCGAGATTCCGGAAAACGTGCCGGATGGCACGCCATTGCCGCACCTGGACATGACGGTGAAAGACCCGGATGTGGTGAGCGTTCTCGTCCATTTTTATCCCGTCAAAGTCGTTATTTATCGAACATCTGGTCCGTAAGACACGCTCCCTTTTTCGATCCTCGCGCGCGCGCGTGTGTGTATCGCGCGCCGTCAATAATTCAATGCAAATGCGGTTACCGCCGTATCGAAAAATCAAGAGAAATCCAATATGTGGTAAACGCTTGTTAATGTAGCATTTATATTAATGTATTCGGGTTTTTCTGAAGCTTGTTGCTGTGCCGCAACAATGGCGACGATCAGAAAGGCGCCGTGCGTTTTATAGGTGTGTGCGTATTTAATTCGGTCCGTTAATTAAATGTCCACGCATTAATGGCAATGCAAATGTTGGGGATAAATAATTCATGATGTATTATAAAGCTTCGATCAAATAATTATTATTTGTCGCGGTCGCACTGATTGCAATTTGCTACTAAATATTACGCGCGCCACGCCGCGTCCACTTTGTTCTCCCGCGAGTCGCGAAAGATTCCGTCTCTTCCGCTTGCCGCGGAGAATAAAACCGAGGCGTTTCCACTTTAAGGGCATAAACTCCGTGTTCTCCCTGCGCCTGGAAGACATAACTGGTGCGTTCACGGTGGAGCCGGTCCTGGCGACCGGCAGCACGTCCGTGAACATTCGAGTTACGAACGGCTCGCTCGATTACGAAAATCCTAATCAACGGAAATTCATTATCCTGGTAAGTCGCTGGAGACGTTCTCCTTCTATTAAAATTTTCACTAATTGAAAATACAGTAAAATATGGCGGATAAACCGGACAGTCGAAATTAATCCCTTCATTAGAAGGACGATAATTTATTTGGAAGAAAACGCATACGTGATCGTGATTTGAGATTAAAGTAAAATGCATGTGATTTTACATAATTTGCGTAATTATATATTTACAAATAAATAATAGTATTATTGTAATTAATCGAGAATTGCATGCGTTTCTCTCGAGCGAAAATAAACGTGATGCGATTATCGTTATTAGGTCGTCGCCGAGGAAGTTCAC